ATAGTTGTATAAGAAAGAGAAAAAGCAAACTTTAAAAACAAAACCCACCACAACATTGATTCATAAAACAAACAAAAATGGAATCATGTAACTATGAATATTTTAACAGCCAAAGATATATTTTTGTTATGATTTTTATGTTTATATAAGTTGTATTTCTAAAGAATTAAACTGTAAATTTTGGGTAGCTACTCTTTTATTATACTTTAATTAACATTAGTTTGTTAGTTTTATGCCGTAATGCTGATTAACAAAATTATTATATTATTATATACTCAGAAAATCTGTCTTATGATGCGCACATAAGAGTCGACACTTTTACCAATAGTCTTGATTTCGAACCAGCTTCATTTGTGTACTTATACATGCACTTATGTAGCCTCGGAGAAAATATGTTGTAAATAGACAATATCTATTTTAACCTGTTCTTTTAAGAAGGGTGTGTGGTTTTTACGGCAAACAATTTACAGTGTTGTTTAGTTGAAGATTCTATATATTTAATTTACAGTTTTTATCAAATTGATTGAAGTTGCTTTTTTTTTTTTTGCAATAAAATACTTATAGAAAAATGCATTAAAAAAAGAAATGTTTTCGCAAGATTTTTGTTATGTATTTCAATTGTTTTTAACACGAAGTGGAAATTTTTAAAAGACTATAATAAGGGGTCATGCTCATCAGTGGTGGAACTAGAAAAAAAGGGCCACCCCGCAAATTTTTTTTAGCCCCCCCCCCTTCTCCATATAAATATATATATATATATATATATATATATATATATATATATATATATATATATATATATATATATATATATATATATATATATATATATATATAATTACAACATCATGTCATGTGTGTAAGTGTATTAGTGTGTTTTGTGAAATCAGCTTTATTTTACCTCTGCTATAAGATCTCTTAACCCTCTAGTCGGTCAAAAGAATATAAAACATGAAAGCTTTGTATAAGTAATGGTCTCTCGTGTTATATTATTGATATTTTATGCATTTCCTTTTTGTACAATGTCATTCTTTAGTATCTTTAGTAAGCATTTTATAAAAAAAATATAATTAAGAGAAGTAATTGCTTTTTAATTTGTTTAGTACAAATCTATTGAAAAGATCTTATGAGCACCCCTGTTAGACTTTTTAAAAAAGAGAAATAAGTGGTTTGAACGTTTGCTTAACTTTGACAAGTTTGATTGTAGGAGAAAAAGGACTCGGCTTTCACAGTGATTTAAAAATATAGGGGAAAAGAATATACTAATTACAATGGCGTGGGGTGGTGTCTATAGAATAAAGATAATCCAACCGCAGCTACGGTAACCTTTTTACAAAACAACCATCCAGTAAAAAATGCAAGAAAATTTTTAAAAATTTAACTATAAAAAACACTATTATGTTCGGCTGTGGGCCCCTAAATGCCCCCCCCCCCCCCCGCATTCCGGGGTCTGGCGGCACTGTAGTTCCCTCTGATGCTCATGTACATAAGGGGTAAGGGTGGTTAATCATTTGGATATATTACGCTTGGTGGTTGTATAGAAATAAGTTATACATCACTCTTTTGTTATTTAAAGAATACTTTTCACGAAAATTATAAATATTAAGAATTATTGAATGTATTGGTTTTTAAAAATCTCTGAAGTTCGTACGTTATTTTGAAAATCCAACAAAGCTGTAGTGTCTTGTTTTATCGTTATTTCTGTGAGGTGGGGTGAAATGGGGTGAGATGGTTTCTTGAATTGTTTAACATAAAACGTAATTCTTAATTCTAGTGTTGGAAGAGATGCCCTCCTACACAATTAAATTATGCACTATTGAGGCTATTGACTACGATTTTATCCTGCTTTTCTTTTTTTGATTGGCTTCCATAACCTTTGTCCAACTAAGAACAAACTACAAGGCAGCAGTTGTTTGATTTTGGAGTTGTGTCTCTTTGATGAGTAGCTGTCCCCAGCCTCATCTGCCCGGGGGATCGAACTTTTCGGTACATCAACCATGAGTTTTACCGCCAGCCTGCTTGTATATAACATTATATATAACATTATATGGGGTTTATAAAAGTAAAAAAACAAAAAAAACAAAAAAAAAACAACGTAAATTTTGTTATCTACAATCCACAGAACCCAACCCTTCACACAAAGGTTAAGTATTATATTTGGCAAAATCCTTCTCCCCCTCCACCCCCTCCCAACACACACACATACACAAGCAAATGGATATTCCGGTTAAAAAGTAATTTGTTAAACCAAAGTATGGTAAGTGATGTAGATATACGTAGTATTAAAAAAATTAGCCTACTTTATAATCTAAATTTTAGAGGATTATTATAAAATATTTAAAAATGCAAAAATAAAAGTCTTGAAAAAAAGCTAAAGAATACAACAATTAACTTTTAATTAAAAGGAATGCTACCAAATAATAACATGTACCTACAATTGTATCTCTCTGGCGATTCAAAATTACCAACGTTATATTTGCACAATTTTTGTCACATCGACTTAGCAGTACTTATTTACCAGCTATCATTTCATGTTATTGAGGGAAGACACATAGGTAGCTAAATTTCATGTTATTGAGGGAAGACACATAGGTAGCTAAAACACTATTTCATGTTATTGAGGGAAGACACATAGGCTACTAAAACACCATTTTATATTATTAAGGGAAGAAACATAGGCTGCTAAAACACCATATATGTTATTAAGGGAAGACACATAAGTAGCTAAAACACGATAAAAAACACTGTAAAAGCAATAGTTTTATTGTTAGACAGAGAACAGGGGAACAAACCCAAAGGTTTGCGTGAGTGAGCTGTTGATGTGTGTGATCTCTGGTGATGTTACTATATTTAGAACGTCATGCTTATGGAGGACAAACACAGCGCCTAATGAATGAAACAGATTAACATTAATTAGCAAGTTTCATTTAAGTTGAACGTTTCGTTTTATAGATTTCATGAGGTCTTAGTACCCAATGTTGTGCCAAATGCCACACTATGTCAGCAACTTTAGTTAAAGAGTTATCTACAGTTAAGAAAGGGTTCTGTTCAATAATTCGGATGGAGGTTGTAACTGTAAGTCAAGTCAAAATTACGTGATTCCATTTATGGACAACTCTAAATTTTAAAAAAAAACCAAAGTTTCTAGCTCTACTTACCTGTAAAACTAGTTCTAAAGTTGCTATTTCTACTTACCTGTGAAACTGGTTCTAAAGTTGCTAGCTCTACTTACCTGTGAAAATGGTTCTACAGTTGCTAGCTCTACTTACCTGTGAAACTGGTTCTAAAGTTGCTAGCTCTACTTACCTGTGAAAATGGTTCTACAGTTGCTATCTCTACTTACCTGTAAAACTGGTCTGTTTCTCTGTTGTACAGTTGTCACAGCAAGTAGTTCTGGTCGTGAGGATAGCACCGGACATCCGGTCATCACCTGGTCGACGTCTGGTCACAGTCGCTGACCACACCTGTAACATCCAGGTGTTTAAGGTCGGGTTATCACGTGGTTATGATCAGGTTGTCACATCGTCGACGTCATGTTATCAGATTGTTCAAGGTCAGGTTATCAAATGGTTCAAGGTCAGGTTATAAAATGGTTTAAGGTCAGGTTATAAAATGGTTCAAGGTCAGGTTATCACATGATTCAAGGTCAGGTTATCACATGGTTAAGGTCAGGTTATAAATGGTTCAAGGTCAGGCTATCAAAAAGTTCAAGGTCAGGTTATCACGTGGTTAAGGTCAGGTTATCAAATGATTCAAGGTCAGGCTATCAAAAAGTTCAAGGTCAGGTTATCACGTGGTTTAGATCCGTTGACACAAGCTTTAAGATCGTGTTTGCCCGTTTGAGAGAGAGAAAGCGAAGGTAGAATATATATACATTTAACTACGTTCCGATACAGCTATTAATAACATGAATATAAATACAAAGTTTAGAAGATGCAAGGTTCCTGGGCTATACATGACTTACCTACGTTGTCAATCTTGTATTTCTAGAGTTAATAAATGTTTGCAAATTTCTATACCTGTCTACACAAATTGTTAAAATATGTACAGGTGAAAACAGGGACTAAAGTTTTACTAAATTACTAGAAGCCCTCATTCCTTTGAGTCTAGCTACGAATGTAGTTATTCAAGGGTAAAGAGCATTTTCAAGAAAAGCGACTTCTCAATCCTCTACGGCTTAAAGACAATGGACCAAAATTATACTCTAACACTTCTTGTTTATTCTCAGTGAACAACAGCCAGATAGGCAGGTAGGTTCCAGAACAAGAGATTTCATAACACTGCACTAATGACCGATAGCCTAATTATTTTACTCTAGAGCGCTCGACTGCTAACTCGAATGTCTTGAGTTCGAATCATGAGACGTAGGATGTCATTAACTCCACCCAGCTCTGAGGGGCACGTGACTCCCGTAGAGAAGGTAATGGCGTCTGGGCTGACCACACTATCCCTTCATATGTCGAAGTCATTAAAACATTTGAAATCTACTTCACCTGCCTCATAGACCGTTCGAAGGGTACTTGTTTTGTTAGTTTTAAGCCAAAATTAATCTTCAAGGGGTAATGACTTTGTACATCGTGCGGGTACCGACATTGTAACCTTAACACTAGGCGTGGTCTCTCCCTACCCTAACCTTAACCCTGGTCCCTGGTATAACCCTAACCTTAACCCTGGTCCCAGGTCTAACCCTAACCTTAACCCTGGCCCCTGGTATAACCCTAACCTTAACCCTGGCCCCTGGTATAACCCTAACCTTAACCCTGACCCCAGGTATAACCCTAACCTTAACCCAGTCCCCTGGTATAACCCTAACCTTAACCCTGGCCCCAGGTATAACCCTAACCTTAACCCTGGCCCCTGGTATAACCCTAACCTTAACCCTGGTCCCTGGTATAACCCTAACCTTAACCCTGGTCCCTGGTATAACCCTAACCTTAACCCTGGCCCCTGGTATAACCCTAACCTTAACCCTGGCCCCTGGTATAACCCTAACCTTAACCCTGGCCCCAGGTATAACCCTAACCTTAACCCTGGCCCCAGGTATAACCCTAACCTTCACCCTGGCCCCAGGTCTAACCCTAACCTTAACCCTGGTCACAGATCTAACCCTAACCTTAACCCTGGTCCCTGGTATAACCCTAACCTTAACCCTGGCCCCAGGTCTAACCCTAACCTTAACCCTGGCCCCTGGTATAACCCTAACCTTAACCCTGGTCCCTGGTATAACCCTAACCTTAACCCTGGTCCCTGGTATAACCCTAACCTTAACCCTGGCCCCTGGTATAACCCTAACCTTAACCCTGGCCCCAGGTATAACCCTAACCTTAACCCTGGTCCCAGGTATAACCCTAACCTTAACCCTGGCCCCAGGTCTAACCCTAACCTTAACCCTGGCCCCTGGTCTAACCCTAACCTTAACCCTGGTCCCTGGTATAACCCTAACCTTAACCCTGGCCCCTGGTATAACCCTAACCTTAACCCTGGCCCCTGGTATAACCCTAACCTTAACCCTGGCCCCTGGTATAACCCTAACCTTAACCCTGGCCCCTGGTATAACCCTAACCTTAACCCAGGCCCCTGGTATAACCCTAACCTTAACCCAGGTCTAACCCTAACCTTAACATGTATCCCATACGTACCCTGTGATTGATCTGGTGACAGAAGTTAGCGTTGATGTACACTAAGTACATGCCCGTATATTTGACCTCCGACTCTTGGTTGTAGAGCGTCTGGCGCTGGCTCTTGACCAGTGCATTCCGTGGACTCTCCAAAACAGAATGAATGACCCTATCTGCAAGATAGACTGACATATTTTATCGGAAAATACACCATTGAATTAACAAGGCATTTAAACCGAAAACACTGAATATTGTAGAAAGAAATATTCAAAATTTTGACGATTTGGCAGGAGATTGTATGAGTCAATAAAAATATAGTCTTACAGTAAACGCAGTGAAATATTTAAAATCTTGACGATTTGGCAGGAGATTATATAAGTAAATAAAAATATAGTCTTACAGTAAACGCTCCATTGCCTATTTGATACACATAAATATATCATCAAGTTCACAGTTCCAAAATGAATGTATTTCTATATTTAATTCAACGTTAGTCTAATGATTTTAAAAATTATACACTATCAAGCACACCAGTGGCGGAACTAGAAAAAAAAGGCTCCCCCGCAAAAATATTTTTTGGGCCTCCCCCCTATATATATATATATATATATATATATATATATATATATATATATATATATATATATATATATATATAAAGATATATATATATAAGTAGCGTGCTTCTCCAAATTTTAAATAGTCTATTACCTGAGTAATGTATAACCACTCTGAGATAACGAACCAGACAACAATAAGTCCGAACTCAAATCGGGCCCGCAATAATCCGTTTTACAAGTGTTTTTATTCCTTTTTTTTTTTAAATTTGATACGCTTCGCGATTCTGCGTACATTTTCATGTTTATCGCAAATTGATAAAACAAAATAATATTTGAAGCTGGTCAAATTTATATAAACACGTAATCTTGATTTGTGCAATGGTTTCTCGCGTTATGCTTATTTTTATGATTTTTTGTATTTATATTATTAGTTTTGAATACATTCATTTTTATAGCTTAAGGATTCTTTAGTGTGCATTATTTAGATAATAATTAAGAGAATAAATTGCTTTTTAACTTACATAGTACAAATCTATTTAAATGAGCTTTATGGGCACCCCTATTTTAAAGAAGGGCAGTTAGTCATGGAAGTAGTGTGAACGTTTGCCTATCTTTCAAACTACAGCTCTTGTAGATTTTATATTTTACTACGCAACAGTGTGTGTTAGTTTCTGTAGAACAATCACTGCTATAGTAGACATGTTTGTTTTTTATAAAACCACTATCAAGGTGCGCGAAAAGATTATTTATGAAAAGAAAATTCATTGTTCTTTTCGGTCGGAATTGGGCCCCTAAACGTCGTGGGCCCCCCCCCCCGCATTGCGGGGTCTGGCGGCACTGTAGTTCCGCCCCTGAAGCACACCCTGTTCAGTGCAGGTATAATGTGTTAAAACCTAACGTAGCAGCTATAAGGCTATAAGTCCCGTAGAAATGGACGATTATCTTTACTGATAGTTACCTTACGTACTTCTTTATAAAGACCTTAAGACGTGTAATAATGCCCTCACCTCTTTCTTTAAGTTTTATGTGAAATCTCTGGGGATATAATTTTATTTTTAGAAATAACAAACTAAGGTGTTGGACGAATCATAAAAGTAATTTCAGATTTCAACAAGTTTAGGGTCACAAAACTACTTATTTTTTTTTAATATTTTCCAAAATACTTTAGTTTATTCATAACATGAATTTTAAATTTCAATTTAAAAATATCTTTTTCTTTGGGAAATAATGGTATACATACAACAGTAGGAGTCTAACAACACAGCATATAATGTGAGAATATATTTTTGTGCCGTCACTATACAAAAAATTAAGAAATTGATTTGTTGAAAGCGGGGGTCAAACAGTGATTATTCTTAAATTTATAAATAATTTAAAATTCATCTCGACAAAATCATGTGCAACAAAATTAGTTGCGCAGTTGAAATGAAGCAAAAATTAACCCACAAATAAATCTTAGCTTGCTGCAAATAATATCAAAGAAATGTGTTATTGTGTATACATTAGGTGAGTACTGTTCACATAATACACGCACACACACACATTCACACACACACACACACACACATTTGCGTACCAGCGTCCTAAGGGCAGATAACTGTTGTTCATTGTCCGCACAACACATGTCTACCTCCCCTTGTGTGTCGATAATCAACGTCCGGTACAGTGAATGAAAATCTGAATGTTTGTGGGGGACCAGCTTGGAGCACTCTATACACGTTCTGTTTGAAATCTCTGAACTCTGGAGATAGAAAAGATTCTTCTTGATAAGTGAAAATTATCGCCCTTAGCATGTTATGTGATGTGTAAAACTTTATTTGTTTCGATGTAAAACAAAAATGGATTCCATAAAGCCATGGATGCTGTTTGAAGGGTGTCATTAAAAACGGAAATGACAGTGTATGTTTTTTTTGTTTTTTTTTTTGGAGTGCCTTTTAAAAGTTGCCAGTTAAACGATTTCAAAATTGGGGCCAAATTTTTAGCTGCATTCTATTATGATTTACATAATCTTCTATGGGAGAGGTCAGTCTGGCTTATAAGTACGTCAGCTGGAAGTTTTAAATATATTCACAGGCCCCAACAGAAAATTAAACACGACCGTAGTGTGTAATGGGGAGTGTGTGTGGAGGGGGCAGGGGCGGGGATGTCCCAGTGGTTGGTAGCTTTATCTAGAAATTCGTCATACCATTCTCTCCCCAACAGAAACCACCCCTCTCCCCAACAGAAACCACCCCTCTCCCTAACAGAAACCACCCTCTCCCCAACAGAAACCACCCTCTCCCCAATAGCAACCACCCTCTCCCTAACAGAAACCACCCTCTCCCTAACAGAAACCACCCTCTCCCCAACAGAAACACACCCCTCCCTTCCCAGCACATACCATTTGACCCTTCTCACTGTCAAAAAGTCAAAGCAAATACCACTTTCAATACTAAAAATGACGTAAATTTATCCAACCAAAATACGACTGAAATCCAATTTCAAACTCACCTTTGTGGGCTTGAGAACAACTAATGGAATTAGAACAGCGAGCAGAGCAAAAGAAACAAAACACAAACAGCGTCCCATCCTGGAAAATCAGATTTTAAACCAAATTAGTTCAAACTTAATAGCAATAAAGGTATATATACATATTCGTTTACATAAATGTATATATATATATATATATATATATATATATATATATATATATATATATATATATATATATATGATTTGCAAATGTCTATATATTTATGTATATATGTTTATATATATATACATATAAATATATATATATATACAGAGACCGTTCCTGAATTATACCTAATCATTTAGTCTGATCAGAAAAGCTAATACACTAAGATATATTTACTCATTCGGTGCATGAGTAGATTTTCATGACAGAGCACATTATTATTTGTTTACTATTGTTTTGTTTTCTGTGGCACAAAACCCCATACATTTTGGCACAAAATCCATACATTTTGGCACAAAACACCATACATTTTAGCACAAAACCCCATACATTTTAGCACAAACTCTATTACATTTTGCCACAAAACCCCATACATTTTGGCACAAAACCCCATACATTCTTGCACAAAACCCCATATATTTTAGCACAAACCCTATTACATTTTGCCACAAAACCCCATACATTTTGGCACAAAACACCATACATTTTGGCACAAAACACCATACATTTTGACACAAAACCCCGTACATTTTTGCACAAAACCCCATACATTTTGACACAAAACCGCGTACATTTTTGCACAAAACCCCATACATTTTTGGCACAAAACCCCATACATTTTGACAAAACCCCAAACATTTTGACAAAACCCCAAACATTTTGGCACAAAACCCCATACATTTTGACAAAACCCCAAACATTTTGACAAAACCCCAAACATTTTGGCACAAAACCCCATACATTTTGACAAAACCCCAAACATTTTGACACAAAACCCCATACATTTTGACACAAAACCCCAAACATTTTGACACAAAACCCCATACAATTTGACAAAACCCCAAACATTTTGGCACAAAACCCCATACATTTTGGCACAAAACCCCAAACATTTTGACACAAAACCCCATACATTTTGGCACAAAACCCCATACAATTTGACACATAACCCAGGGGCGTAGCGAGGGGGGTGCGGGGGGTGCGGACCGCACCGGGTGACACCATTTAGGGGGGTGACACCAAGGCAAAAAATATCAAAATATATATAGAAAAATGATAATTCCACTTAATAGAGTGATTAATTAGAGTGTTAAATAGCCTTTTAAGAGGTGGGGGGTGCAAATTGAAAGTTTGGGGGGGGGGGGGGTGCAAATCGAAGGTTTGAGGGGTGGGGGGTTCAAATCGAAAGTTTGAGGGGGGGGGGGGGTGTAAATCGAAAATTGAAAGTTTGTCCCCGGGAAGGGTCGTTGCGCCTCTGGGGGGGGGGGGGGGGGGTGACACCATTAAGTGCCGCACCGGGTGACACCCGACCTCGCTACGCCACTGACATAACCCCATACATTTTGACACAAAACCCCATACATTTTGACACAAAACCCCATACATGTTGGCACAAAACCCCATACATTTTGACACAAAACCCCATACATTTTGACACAAAACCCCATACATGTTGGCACAAAACCCCATACATTTTCCCAAGAAAGGAAAGATCATTGAGTCAAGAGTTTACCATGAACAACAAATATCCGCTTTCTGTGGCATGTTACTAGATGTTGGTTTTAGTGACTCCATTTCCGCTTTAGAGTACTTGAAAAACAAGTGCTGGTATTAGAGTTACATTCAAGTATCACATTTTTATTTGTAAAAAAATTTAGTTTATTCATTCATTTAGTTTTACATATACACGCTCTTATGCTCTTGCAAACACCAATACAAACTGACACCCCTCTAGTATGTAATGTAGGGCCTATAGTTAGGTGCATTCATCTTTAAAAATGTAAGTATAACTGTTAAGCTGTTCCTAAAGAATTTCGGACATTGCTTTCCTTCAGCAAGTATATTGTCAACATATAATCAATATTAAAATATCACTAGTTACGTGACAAGTTATTGTGATATGTGATGCATTTTTAAAGAATCTTGAATACAGGTTTAAATGTAATTGAAAAAAAAAATAAAAAATCAGCTACAATTACACGATTAACTTACCGACCCACTCATTCCAAAAGAATTTTTTTTTACATTAAGGCTCGATCTTAATGAACACTTATTGCAAGGGAAGGCTACTACAAATAAAGATGGTATTGTTAACACACGTACAATTATCAAGTGTGTTTGTTTTGGTCCATACTTATTCGTTTACCTGTTTATCTTGTGATATTTATAGCATGATAGTACAACCTTAATATCATTTAAAACTAATCTGAAAAGTTTATCAGATGTGGGGCTTTATCTTGTGTTGACGTTGGTGTGTTAGACGTTATCTAGAACATTTTGAAGTGAGTGGTATTTGTTTCAGCTATGCGTGTAGTAGAGTGTCTTTATTTGTTTAAATTAATCATTGCAGTATTAGTAGTTAGATCTATGTACGGGGACTATGTTGTCGGGCATGATTCTTCTTCTTATTTTTTATGGGGAGAAAAGGGCTGTAACCACACCTTTCCTGGGGAGCAAAGGACTGCAACCACACCTCTCCTGGGGAGCAAAGGGCTGCAACCACACCTCTACTGAAGAGCAAAGGGCTGTAACCACACCTGGGGAGCAAAGGGCTGCAACCACACCTCTCCTGGGGAGCAAAGGGCTGCAACAACACCTCTCCTGGGGAGCTAAGGGCTGCAACCACACCTCTACTGGGGAGCAAAGGGCTGCAACCACCCCTGAGGAGCAAAGGGCTGGATCCACACCTCTCCACCGGACTCGGTTTTGGGCAGCTCTCTTTAGTTGAGCCCATGTAAGCCCGGCAGCCCTTGCCTCTTCTTCTACTGATCTTCTCTGTGATTTCCCTAGCCTACCTTCTTTCCTCTTCCTCTGAGGATTCCAGTCTAACGCCTGCTTACCTGTAGTCCTCTCCTTTTCTCAGGGTACCCCTATCCATCCTAATTTAAGGGCTTTGATGTCCTTATCTATTGGCTGTCGTCTTTTGTTTTGAAACTGGTCTTTATTTGATATTTTGTCTTGCCATCTTATCTTGAGAATCTATCTTCAACATCTGTTTATGAACGACTGTATTTGTGTTGGTAACGTGAACAACTGCAGCATGTCTGTATTTGTATGGTAACGTCGGCCATGATTGCGCACCCTAAACCCCCAAGACCTGACCCCGGGCAGATGAAGATTATTAACTAGGGGCAGCTACCTATTGAGGGGAGAAAACTCTAACATTAAACAACCACTGCCTTGCTGATTATTATTGGAAGGACGAATGCTTAAGAAGCTAATCCAGAAATAAATAACGCAGAGGTAAGATTGGAGTGTAAATTTTGCTAACCCCCCCCCCCCCCCCCCCATCCCACGAAGAGATGCCCGAAAAAACTATTTTTATCTTAGCGATCACTGACCTGAAGTAGTAGAAGACAACCGATTTCTCTGAAAAACCGGTTCCATTCTAAACTCTGCTTTACCTACTTAAACAACTAACAAGATGGCTAATTTGGATTGTTGTAAAAAAAGAGTCAAGGACTTTTTGTATACATCATTTTTAATTCATCCAAAAATGACAGACATACAACAATATCACAGCATGCGTAGATTATACGCTATTATTTTACAACATTATTAATTACGATATAAAACTAGGTATAATATTTACATCGAATAAAAATAAAATAACAGCTTACTAGCCCAACCTTTAAAAAATGTTTTTCAGCGTTTTTAAATGCAAATGTGTATTTTCTCACTTCTAATACCCCCTTACCCCCCCCCCCCCCCCCCACACGGCCACACATCAACACAAAAGTCCGATTCTCCATCTCTCGCTACGGAAGTGATATCATGTATGGACCACACCCAACACACATATCTTGACAACGTAAATGTAATTTTTATAGTTATTATATACACCATTAACATAATTGATTTGCACCGTGGAGTTGTGTTTTATGGTTATACTAGACTACCCATTTTCCTTGGATAACTGTGGGTTTGTTTATTGTTGTTTTTTTGTAAGGGGGGGGGGGGGGGTCATCCGTAAATGACATTACGTTTGTTTGACGATTTTTATCTCTGTCCTCCCCCTCCCCACTTCATAAATGACGTCACGTTTTTCTCTTTTGACGATTTTTATCTTTCCCCTCTCCTCCTTACTTCACACACCGTCACAAAAAGTCAGACCCAACATTTAAAAAGACGTCACACCTCAGACATGTTTTTCCCTTTTTAAAAACACCGATTTAGGCTGAGCATGGGGTCTGACCACACTATCCCTTCATATGATGAGGTAACAAAAACAGATTAACTCTGCTTCACCTGCTCCGTGTCTCACCACGTCCAAAAGGGCAACTTTATCATTGACATCTTAAAAAGTCACACATCAACTTACATTTTTCTGTCTTTTAAAAACATCGATATTCTCTCTACAATATTTTCTGAGCACAAACCTCATTTGAATAATAAAAGAATAAATGATTAAAACTACCTTAAAACTAATAATAATCAATGAGAATTAATCGCATGTGTGGTGATTTCCCAATGTGCATTAAAAATTAAAACACAAAAATTAAAACAAAACAAAAAAAATTAAGATGAACGTGATGTGTATCGAACTGGTACTACCCCGAATGGTAACTACTACACTGTCATCTCAGTCTACTTTTATATTATAAGAAAGAATTAATTAAGACTTCATATAAAATTTTAATAAAATATAGACGTTTTATAATAAAAGAAACTAACTGCAATATTTTGAATTTCTAATATAATTAATTGAACAGATAATGTGTCTATCATACTTTGTCCACATGTAATATTAACGCGTCACTAATTAAATGTTCAATCAAATCAAATTAATGAATAAAGTTCAAACATCGATTTTCCCCAACTTGGCCATCCCAAAAAATGTGGACTGTGGCCTGTAGCTGACCAGTCCACGACCGGAGACCTCAACTCTAAGTTGGTCGTTCTTGTGGAGGAAGAAAACTCCAGCTGTGGAGAGCGGTAAGAGAAAATGTAGAGTCAGGGTTCTAAAAACGTAGTGGTTAGTTGTTTTATTTAGAGTCAGGGTTATATGAATGTAGTGGTCAGTTGTTTTATTTAAAGACAGGGTTCTATGAATGTAGTGGTCAGTTGGTTTATACAGTGTCAGGGTTCTAAAAATGTAGTGGTCAGTTTCTTTTAATAAAATATCAGGGTTCTAAAAATGTGTCAGTTATACTATATGGTATCATGGCTCTAAAAATAAAATTGAGTGGTTACTGGTTAGTTGTTTTAAATAGTATCAGGGTTCTAAAAATCTGTTGGTCAGTTGTTTTCTTTGGAGTCGGGGGTTTAAAAATGGTATTGTTCAATCATTGATGTTCGAATTTTTATATTACTATTTAAAGATTAAAATTAAATAATTAAAAGAAAGAATTAAATTATTATGAATTGTTTTAAATTTGCCAAAAATCAAATTTTTTTTAAAAATAAAAACATAACTGTTTTTTTTACATTTATCTAAGAAGTTAAACTTTTGCTTATATGTTTCAAAATGTTCTTTCAAAGAAAATGTAAGTGCTACATAATACATACTGTTCAACCTATGAGAAATACTGTTTCTACATATTTCCTTACCTGTGTAGCTTGTCTCCTGATTTCTAACACAATTATCACAGCAGGTGTGTGAAGATGTCAGGAGCACACCTGAATATTCTGGAATGTTCTCTCGGGTTCTGGTGATGTTGTGGCTCCAGATCTGGCAAGCAAAACAAGACCGTAGTTGAGACACATTCAGGTGGCATACATTTTAGCAAAAGTTGAGACACATTCAGATGACATACATTTTAGCAAAGGAACAATTCGTTGGAAGCATTGAATTAAAAATAATACATATGCAAGGAGCTAATTTAAAACCTAAAGAGATTTGTCACAGGTTTTGGATATGAATAAAAAACTTAAAAATAACTCAACAATAAATAATTAGCTGTTTACATATTTTTTAAAAAATATTTTAGGCTAAAAATTATTTAGACATTATTAAAAAAAAGAAGTTTATTTAAGTATTTTTAAATTGGACAAAGCGTTTTTAACTAAATAAATTAAATATAATACACCGAATTAACAAATGTGTAGTCTAATTCTCAGTTTAATTTCTGCTCTCAGTAACCCAGTGTTTTGGGACGTTTACACTAATATAAATTGTGTGTTTAATGTTTCTTGAAAATTTTCATTTTTACGCCATGATAAGTATAGCTGTATAGTTTGTACATAAAACGAAACTAATCACACTATATATAAACTAATTACACTATATATAAACTAATCACACTATATAGACTAATTACACTATATATAAACTAATTACACTATATATAAACTAATTACACTATATATAAACTAATTACACTATATATAAACTAATTACACTATATATTGTTAAATGACCACACAATCAAAGAAACCAAGGCTTACACTTTTTCATACGAGTTTAAAAGTGGTTCGCCATCAGTGAGATAATTGAACCACCACCTTCATTCAATACCCCTCAGATTAAATCTGAATTACTATTTCGTCACACAGAACGGACCAAATATAAAATACCTTTTGGTCAAAGTGATTACACGGTAACGCTGAATCTGGCTTGAAGTGGACGCTACTGTAGACGAGATACAGCCCAGATTTTTGTATCACAGTCTCTGACGTCAGTAGCTCGACGTTTCTGGTGTGTTCCAGAAGGGGGTTGTCTTCTTCTGGCGCGAAATACAGCTGGAAGCTTTCGTGGGGGTCAAATACGGGCTCTGTTGAGGAGGGGGGGGGGGAGAGATACACATTGTTACACTTCAGAGAGGAACGTTAAATTAAATTATAAAAAGTGTTTGTTTTGGAAATAATGTTGGATAAAATAATACATTTAAAGTTTATGTTGGTTTAAAAAAAAAAAAAAAAAAAAAAACATTTACTGTCAAGATGTTCATCCTCTTGGAAAAAAGAAGGCAATAATTTTCTGTGTATGGAGGCGTCACCCATGGAGAAGTTTTTAGGGTCCTTAACAGGCGGCAAAGCTGAAGACACTGTAATATTTATGATGTATTAAAATGACATCCATACATATATACTTATATATATTTATATATATATATATATATATATATATATATATATATATATATATATATATATAAATCTGTGTCTTTAAAGCATATAGACTAAAGCTATAAGCCAACTGTAGTAGTAAAAACAAACTCACCAGCTTCCTCAGTACCTGTGAGCAAGTACTGTAACAAAAAAGTGGGGTGGGGGTGATTGAGGTGATAGTAAAAAAAAATATTGTTATTCTCTAATACTTTAATGTAATACAATCCAATGCTAGCTAGAACAAATGTAATCTTTATATTGTTATAATATCGTAGTTTTAGCTTTTTTTCACGTAGCTGAATATGTAACATATAGGCTATATATATATATATATATATATATATATATATATATATATATATATATATATATATATATATATATTGATATTGGCTGAACACTTACCAGCCTCACAAGATTAGACAACTGTTTCTCATCTAGGGCACACAGCATTTCAATTTGATTATCAGTTGTGTTTTCTGTCCGTCGTTGCAAGGTCTCGAGAAGTTTTCTAAGTTCTGGGTGGTTGAATTTATTGAACAGCTCACTCCTGACGCACGTGGGGGTAAACACCTTTCAAAACAGAGATTACAGTTTAGTAGGATCGTGGATCATGTTTTTGTTATAGTTCTCGATTGCGCAAATTTCTGTTTGCGCATTTTTTTCTTTGCGCTTTTTTCCGATTCGCAATTTTTTGTTGCGCATCTTTCTGGTCACTGTTTTTTTTTTGTTATCTCCCATGGTTGTTGACTCCGAAAACAAAATAATTTAGTGTATTCAATAAATTGCATGCATGATCTTCAATATTTAAAGCGTGTTTGTGTTTTTTTTTTTTAATTCTTCAGACAGTCAGTTAACGAATGGATTTTTCGGTGAGCTTATTTTATAGTAATAAAATATAAAAATTGAATTACCTTTTTAATATCATCGTCTTGGGAAAATGTGTGTAAAAAAACGATGCACACAACACAGACGATGATAGAGATGGTTGATACAACGATGGGGAGGGCTTTGCTGAAATAATCATCAACATTTGAATGGTTGGATTATGGATGGGGGAGGGGGTGTTTTAAAAGCTGTGATAATATAAACGTTGATAAAACGTTTTTTGTTGGTTTTTTGTGCTGAAATAATCACCAACATGTGAATGGTGAGTATTAGGGATGGGTGGGGGTTGTTTTAGATCATTGATAAAACATTTTACAATTTTTTTATGCTGACAAAATCACAGACATTTGAATGTTGTGTATTAGGGATGGGGTGATTATTTTAAAAGCTGTGAGATAGTTGTAAGATACGTCCCGTGTGTACTTGAACCATGTAAGATAAAAAAAATAGAGCTGGGGTTGCAAATGCTGATCAGTTTTTCTTCCAGGCATCTATTCGGGGAGGGGGGGGGGGGCGAAGAAAGTCTACCGCACCCCCCGAACGAAATGGAAATTTATATAGAATATATATACTTTTACCAGTGTCCGGCCAACCCTCCCCCCCCCCCCCGCCCCCAACCGAAAATATCAAGTGCCCCCCGTAGAAAAAAGTCTGGAAGAAACACTGATGCTAATAGTGCTAATATTTATGTATGTATGTTAACTATAATTATGTATTTGATGTTAAGTAAAGAAAATGTACTTATAGTTTTGAGGTAGCAAATGGCTGAGATAGGAAATAAAACGATTACCATGTTTTAGTATCCAGACAGCGTTCATAACGTGTTTTCGCTGGCTTGTTATTCCGCAGGGCCTCTTTTTCTATACATTCATTTGAAGCATTCTCTTTCCCGCCGTAACCATTGGGAACTTTTGAAAAAAAATAATGCAAATTAATTGCAAAAGATTAAATGTATACATTTGTGTGATCTCTTTATATATATATATATATATATATATATATATATATATATATATATATATATATATATATATATATATATATATATATATATATATATATATATATATATATATATATATATATATATCAAGCATATTTTCTAAATACATCTTACACAACTTTACACTTTTCTTTGTTGAATTTCGATTTTAGTTCGTCCATTTAAATGGGGAAGAAAAACCAACGTACATAACGTAAAAATTACGATAGGAATATTTTTAAACGTGTCGAAGATTATAGATAAAGTTTTAACCCTGTAATGAAACAAAGGCATATATAGGCCTAATAATAATAAAATTATTGTGTAATAAAAAGTCCTTATCTAGAGATAATTACTAAAGTCATACACAGAACTTACTCAGTTTGACTTGCACTGTTTCCACATCCATTTTAATACGACGTTCCTTTTATATTGTTGATCACGTAGTTTTGAACAGTCGAATAAAAAATTAAGACGTAGTCTCAGTCAGTTATTTACGTGAGCTCATAACGGAAATTCTCAATCTTACTCGGAAATTCCCCTGACATGTCTAAAAATAGAAATTAGTTATTCGATTTTAAAACTTAAGCACTAATACTCTAATAGTGTATAATAATTTAAAAAATTAAAATAATAAATACTATTTTTAAACAAGTTAATTAAAAAAGTCTAGTGACATTTGTGCGCAATTTCCTTATGTTATCTAAAAATAGCTCTGACGTATAATGTTGGGGTGCGTTCAAGCTAGAAGAACAATCGGTTTGTAGGTGTTTATGTAATTTTAAAATTTGTGACCGAACGAGAGAATATTTTTGAAAACTTTCTTCGGCAATATTGTTCTAAATTATGACAGGAATCGATTGGTACATGTTTCAAGTCGCTAAGTGGTCTGGTTGCCGAGATATGGGCCAAAAACTGAATTTTTTCGAGGTTTTTTGGCTTTTCCGGGAAATACATGAAAGAAACCCGGAATTTTTATGGCCTATGCTCATTCTCGTAACTTGCTTAACATAATTGCTTTTGGAACTATTCATCGATATTGCTTCGTTGAGGAGGAGATACGACTTAAAGCCCGGACACACATTCATCCATCCATCCATTCCCAGAAATGACGAGTTAATAAACGCAATTCTCCAGAATGGAAATTGCGCTAAAAAAAATATAATATAAAGTATAAAAAAGTTTTCTTTCCTAATTATTATTTTTTTTTTTTTGCGAAAATGATGACTAAAAATATAAAAACAGAAATTTCCAATTTTGCTTTAAGATAGCCCACATTAACAATAGCAGCGTTCAGAGAAAGCGTCCGCCACCCCTAACCAAAGCATCCCACCCTAATGAAATAGAAATAAAATATGAAATATAGAATTATAATATAACCCATCCCGACTCGAAATATGAGTGTGTCCCCCGCCCCGTAGAAAAATGTCTGAAGGAAACACTGTGTTGTAGAGGTGAAGCCAACTTGTTTTTTTTTTCACTCATTGTGTAAAAATTACACACATCGACTTTGAATAATTTGTCCATTAAGTGCGTGTACTGGGGGGGGGGGGGGGCGGGGGGTTGGGGGGGGGGGGGTGACTACACACACACACACACACACACACATATATATATATATATATATATATATATATATATATATATATATATATATATATATATATATATATATATATTACGTGACTACACACACACACACACACACACACACACACACACACACATATATATATATATATATATATATATATATATATATATATATATATATATATATATATATATATATATATATATATATATATATATTACGTGACTACACACACACACACACACACACACACACATATATATATATATATATATATATATATATATATATATATATATATATATATATATATATATATATTACGTGAAAAAAAACTACTTATTTGTAGATGGTCCCGCCAATCTTTGAGTAATTACAACACATTTATATTTCGATATGTTGTACTTATTGAAGGCATCATTCGTCAGGGAAAGATCATGTTATAAAATTTTCCTTTAAAACTTAAAATTAATTTATTCCCGTGGTTTTTTTCGCTGCAAAGTCCCCCAGTCTAGATCACAGGCATTCTCTAATTAATCAGACCAAAAAGATGTATAAATCAAGGTGTACCAGACGTAACATGGCTGACGCCTTAAGTAGCTTGCTTTTTTTATGATAGCGGTCTGGTGGTAATTAATAATTGAATGTAGAGACTTTTTTGTAGGGTTTGGCACCCAGCACCCATAAATTTAAGTGCTCAGTTATTCACTTCACAGGCCCAAATTACATCCAGAGTTTCTTCGGAGGGGGGGGGGCGCATACCGAAGATAGTCTACCCCCCCCCCAAACGGAATAGAATTTATAAAGAAAAATATACTTTTAACAGTGCCCGCCCCCTCCCCCTTTGAAAATTTCAAGTGCCTCTTCCCCCCCCCCCCCCCCCCCGAGAAAAAAAGTCTGGAAAAAACACTGCTTAATTACACCATCCCCTCCCCGATATTCCAGCTACGAATACAATAGATTAGTAATTTCTTTGGTGTTCAAGCTAAGTAAAAATTTGCCTAAGTTTTTCTGTTTGTTTTAGCTTTAGTAATAATGTGGGAGTTGATGTAAAAGTATACATTTTTAAAATATATTGTACGAGCCGACCCGCTGCGTATGAATACGCCGCTATTTATTTGTTTTATTTTCTACTTTTCAGTAATTCTTAATTTGTGAATTCGACAGTACCAATGCTTCCACTGAATATATTAGCTTTAAAACACTATCAGTAGCTTCAAACTAAATTATCTGCCCCTAATAGCCGTTACTAAACCCGGCTCTACGATTGTAAACATTTAGCGTGAACTACAGCTCACCAGACCATGTAGGGTGGGGGTGATATGGAGCGCGCTTACAGCTTGGTGTTTTCTATGACCTCCAATAAGAGAATTATATATATAGAATATTGAAGATTTAGTTTGGTGGGGGGGGGGGGTAGAGGCCTAAATCTAAAATAACCGCTAATCACCACTAATAAAATGGAAAACAGTGAGAAAAACGTTAGAAATCTTTTAATACATTTTATCTACCCACGCTTTGCTGTTATGGCTGAAGAATATTTGGTTTGGTTCCTTATTTTTCTAATTTTCAGTCATTTTAAAAAGCTTAGGCCTACTATTTGCTTTTTTAATACATTCTTTTTTTTTTCTTTTGGCAACAGTGAAAAAAGCTACCTGGCGTCATTCCGACTAATTTATCTGGCTTTTAACACACAAAGATCAACAAACAAAACAAAACAAGAAAGCAATCGGAACCAAACTACGAAACTAGATTTAGAATCTAGAATCTAGATCTCGGTTAATCATTTAACTAGTAAACTAGTAAGTCTTATTTCTAGATATCTTACAATGATATCCGATTGATGATAGAAATCTAGATCTAGATCTAGGTTATTTCAAGATCTATCATCAATCCGGATATCATTGTCATGTTGATGACGATGTTCAAGTTATCTAGTTATACAAGTAACTTAACTTTTAACTTTAACTCTTCTTCTTTTAATCTTTACTCTTTAAAACTTTAAAAGTAAATTAAAGTCTTTAACTGTCATGTGACTGTCACTGCTGTGCGACTGATTTGTTCAATTTGTTGACATTATAAAATAATTTAAAATAATTAATATTATTAGGGTCTAAAGTCTAAAGTAAAGGCTAAATTGAATAATAAATAAATGAGGTAAAACTCCATTTTAGCGTATTTTATTAATTTTTATTCCCTGCTTCACGTTCACCTCCAGTTGAGCATAACTAATCAGTAATATAAACACAGCCGAAATACACAAAAACGTTAGGAAAACACTAGATCTAGATCTACTTATTTTTTTATGAATGTGATTTTTAATTAGAAAAGGTAAAAAAAAAACATAAAACAGCATTAGAACAGTCAAAATTAAATATTGTGTGGTCGTCAGCGGAAGAAAAATCCTTACACAGTCGCGGGTTCACCGTGAGTTCACATTGACTTTAATTATCAGCATACGTCATAGCTCGGGCAATAGCTGTTTGAAATTGTGTTGGCCTCAGTTTTGGGGTCGTTGTAAGTTCATAAATGTTTATTTATAGTATCATGCCTGGGAGATACTTGTAACAATACAAACTTAACCGCCTTGCAATTGTGAGTTACGTTTACATACTTTACCCATTGCCATGAAAATTCTGACACACGAACATAACACATTTAATATTCTAAATTTGGATTTTTCTCAAGTTTTGACAAAAGTAAATTATCAAAATCTAAAACAAAGTCATTCTCTTTGTTTTTTTTATTCATTTTTATTCATTTGTTAAAACAAAAATTCAATACAAATAAATAAATCGTGTTTTCCTAATGTTTTTGTGTTTCGGTTATTATAATAAAATACGATCAACTGGAGGTAAACAAGAAGCAGAGAATAAAATACACTAAAATGGAGTTTTACCAATGAATGATTATTGATTATTTATTTTATAAAGTTTATAGATCTAGGCCTAAATAACAAATATTTCCTATTAATTAGGCCTATAGCCTAGCTTATTTTTTATTTTATTTTATATGACAATAGGCCTATTAATTAATTTAATATTTAATATTTATTAAGTATAGGCCTATTTATTAGCGTACCCGTCCCCGCACGTTGCCGCAGGAATAAAAGAACGTCTGTCAAAATTTGAAAATATATAAAAAGGTTTTCATTAATGCTAAGGCAGGGCTAGCAAGTAGCTAGACTAGAAAAGATTTACTCAGCTAAACTACTAAAGTCTCCAACTGGATTTAAAATAAGATCTAGATCTAGAAAAGATCTAGAGGGGCCTACTTTTAGTACTTAGCTACTAAAATCTAGAATAATCTAGATCATCAGATGTATTATTTTTAAGTAGGCCTAATAAATAATCGCAGTGGCTGGCCTAGAAGTTTAGTCATTATCATATTTATAATAAAAATCATTGATTGTTCATGAAAATCTACATATTTTAGCAAGTTTGTTTCATTTTCAGTGCATTTTAAAGGTTAATATTATCCACCCAGCTCTCATGTGTATCTGACTCACATTAGAATTAAAAAGCAAAGGCGGTTGATCATAGTGATGACCACACTCTCCTCCTTTGTGTCTTTGGCACGAATGGGAAAAGAAAATGAGATGATATTATTCTAAAAGTTTATATGGCCTATGGGTAGTTTAAAGTGTTTTATTTTAATCATTTCAATAATTTCATGAATATTTTTTTTACTAGATTACCAAAATGTAAGTGATTTGTTAAAATTTTACATAATGGAAATCGAAGCTCTGCTATATTTATTTGACTTTTACTTTTATTGCAGGAGAAAATAACGTTGAACGGTTGCTGGTGTAAAACAGACAACATCCATGTTAGTCTCAACTTGAATTTACTGCAAGATGAATGCAAGGTCGCAGGTCATACAGCTGGTAAACACTAACATTTATGATTTTGGTTGTTATTTCCCTTGCTTTGATTTAATTTGAGGGAGGTGGTAAAGGCTGCTGGTAACATTGTGCTGGAATCATTAGTAGTGCAGAAACACTGTGAAATTTCTAGGTCAGGAATTCATGCATTATGGGTGGGAAAAGGGGTCGGTGTGGTCGAGCCAGTACAGCTCATGTTTCCTAAACTGGAAAGTCGAGTTTGAACCCTTGGGCGGATGAGGCTCTATAGCTGAGGACAGTAACTCTTCTAGGAGAAACAACTCCAAAATAAAAAAACCAGCTGTCTTATAGTTTGTTCTTGATTGGACAAAGGCAATAGAAGCAAATCCAGAAAGAAAATGCATCTTGAATTTGAGTCACTCAGTTAACAACCTATAATAGTGCATAACATGTTGGCACATAATACTTGATTGTGTTGGAGGAAATCCCATCCAACATTACAATTATTCAATGAAGAAGAAATCTGCTTTTACTTCACACATTAAACTTCAGTAGTTTCAACAGCGATACAAAGTATATGATTAACCTACTAATTGGGAAAGAGTTGACAACAATACTTAGTTCATTGTAAAATGTGTTTTGAATTACTTGATAATTCAATTACTTGCATGTCATTATTTAAGCTGTAAGTTTCATATTAACATGTATTTAGGTTGATATTTGATTTGAGATTGTCAAGTTAATCTAAAATATGTTTGTGTTAATTTGACAGACCGTGGAGGGCAGACAAATAGAAGAAGTTGTTTTAGGCCTGTTTCACACTATCCTGCTTAACCGCACCACTGGCAAGGTAAGCCACGCAACTTTGTGTGTAGGAGTGGTAATTTTAGAGTAGCATTAATGGTGGGCTATGTCTAAACTTAGTGGTAATTGATTGTATTTAGCAATCATTCTATGTTCTTATTTATTGGCCACTTTATTAATACAAGTGAAGGGATTCATTTGCCGAGTATTTTAAAATATCTTATTGTTTTCCAACCAAATTTTGGGCTTTAAAATTCTGTTCCTAGATTTTCTTTGTCTCAAAAGTTTAGTAGTATTTAGTATGTAAAACTAACTAAGACTTATACTTACTTCCAATACCAATTTATATTTTCCCTTTGCATATTTTAAAAATTCCATTTAAAATCTTTTTGGTTTAGGCTGTTAGAGATTTTCATGGTAAATGTACAAAGTATATATATATATATATATATATATATATATATATATATATATATATATATATATATATATATATATATATATATATATATATATATTTATACTATTCTCATTCTCCCATTTGTATTCTTGATTCGTGATAGTTCAACAGCATACTCCAGAGTAAGTGAAAATAAAGTTTTAGAACCATTGCATTGAATAACAAAAGTAATGAAGGTTTGCTAATGTATTCTTGCAGCACAACTATACCAAGGACAGGAACTTCACCATTGGCTCTCTGAGTGTGCAGGATGTGGACTGTGATTTCCTGGACTTTACTTATGTGAGTCACTTGGTCAGCTTTCTCTGTAATCATTGGTCAGCTTTCACTGTAATCATTGTCAGCATTTAGTAAAACCAATGGTCAACATCCAGTGTAATCATTGGTCAACATTTAGTAAAACCAATGTTTAGCATTTAATTTAATGATTGGTCAGCATACTGAGTAATTGCTGGTCAGCATAGTGTGTAATCATTGGTCAGCATTCAGTGAAAACACTGGTCAGTATACAGTGCAATATTATTGTCCGTCTTCAAGGAAATCTTTACTCAGCAACAAAAGAAATATTAATTAAATTGATCTTTATCAAAAAAAAGAGTTATCATCAGTCTCTTCACATTGAAGCCCATACTTAACCGATATTACATTTTTATTAGATCTGCAATATGAATATGTATAAATCTTTAATACTATTTTTGAAATCCTAACTGTTTATCTGTTATAACTAGATTCAGTATAAATCACGCAAATCACATCTTATCTCAACCTCTCTTGAAGTCTATTTCCTCTAATAACTGCTTTCATTTTTAATCTGTTGAAAAAAATATTTTTTAATGAAATGCTAATAAAATTTATGTTTCAAAATGCATTGTGTCAAAATTATAATTTGTGTTTCAAATTTTAGGTGAAGATAGTCAGCAGGGAACTTGAGGAATATTTGAAGAAAGAAGTTTCTCATTTCCGAGACTTGCTTCGCCACACCGAGGCCCAACAATCAGGACAGGTAGTCCATTACATTTAATTTTAGATTGGTGATCTCCAAAAATCTGGCAAAAGCATTACTTTTAATTAAACAAATTGTTTTAAAATATAAAAGCTCAAACAAGTCACTAATAATTTCTCTTTGAAACAGAATATGTTAGACTTTGACCATTGTTGTATTGTTTTTTTGTTTGTCCAGATTATGCTGGAGTTTTACCGCAAACAGAAGAACAGATGGCTGTTTCAAGCAGATGTTTTCCCCTGGGAGGTGTGGAGCATCAAGCTGGATATCATCCACATTGCCACTGAAAATGGTAGTAGGATTTCTCTGTGCTTAGTTTTTTTTCTTGTCAAATTCCAACTAACTACCATTCATTTAAATTTAGGTCCAAATTTGAACAATGCTCTTTACAGGCTGGTCCAAGTTTAAATTAAACCAAATTTGAGATATATTTTGGCGCATTTTTTGCCAATTTGAAAAATGATTTCTACTTTCCACATAAACAGTGAACAAAACTTGTCTTAAAACAAATGTTTCGGCACTGACTCTGACTGACTAATCAGATCTTGAAAACCTTTTCTCAGTTAAGCTCAGACCTTGTTGCAAATGTACAGATGTATGATTATATTTTACTTATTAATTTCAGTAGATAAATGTTATGCCCTCCCTCGGCTAGGCCAGCCACTATTATATTGTTTTTGTTCATAAATAGCACTAAACCAACTCCTTATCCAAACCTGCGGCTTAGTCAGGCCACCAGAACATCAACATTTTTTCTTGCCTTTTTATCATGTCTGTTGTCATTTTGTCTTTACTTTTTATTCTTTTTTATTTGGTCTCTTTGTCCTGTGATACATCTTGTGTATTTTGTCCTTCTGTTGTTTTGTTTGTGTTTTTATCTTTTATCTTTTTTTCCTGTGCAATTCTTGTTTATTTATTTTCTATTTGTTTTCCCAGTGTACTATTTACTCAGATTTGTTAAATATTTTCCTCATGTAGTTTTTTTGTATAATTTTTAAATTATAGATTTTCCATATTAACTCGTATGCTCACCAATTGATCTGTCATTCAATCCTCCCTGGTGGGTCAGAGCGAACAGATTTCAAGACCAGATTGTCAGAGCAGGTGATGGAGAAAGTGTTCTACATCCTGGATGTGATCAACAGACACGAGTACGTGCCCAGCACGCCACCCAAAGAGGACGAGGAATTGGTGTACGACACCACGTTCACAGACATACAGCCATACCTGTTCAGGGTGAGTTGGAGACAGGTTTCCAGTTTGATTAACCTCGTCTGCATAATCTTATCAGCTGGTAAACATCAGGATTTTATAATCTCGTTAAGATACCTTCAAGTTGACTTCTGGGTTAGCACAGTGGTAGACTGCCTTTGTCTGAGCAGCCCTGGACATTTTTTAAGCCTCCTCACCTGCATATTGAAATTTTTATTAAGCATTTTTTCCACCTTTAAAACCTAAAGGCTCAGGCCTACAAAGAAAGCCATGGGTGACTTTAAGTTTCCCTTTCAAACCTGATGGTCTATGGGGAAGATGAAGTAGAGTTCACTTGTTTCTGTGACCTCAGCATTTGAAGAGATAGTGTGGTCAGTACTATGCCCAGCCAACTTTACTTACCCTAACCTGAGTTGTGTTAGGGTAAGTAACCATCAGAGTTGGGTGGACTCAGGGATGGTCTACTAACTTGAACCCGGATTCGAGACTTATGGCTTAGCAGTCCAGCTCTCTACCGCTAGACCACTCCGTCCCATGGGTGACTTTACAAACTACAATATAGGCCTGCAATTACATCATAAAAAATAAATCAGATGTATTTTAATTGGACTTAAAATCTCATGAATGTAATGTGTGTAGAGATTTTTTTTTACTATATTAATTAATTGACTATATTGTGTGTTGTGTAGCAATTCATTCCAACTCGGATTATAAATATTTACACTTGGATTAGAGGCAGGCCTATTTAATTTGTTAATGTCCAAACATTTATCAGTCTTCTAGATTTCTAAATTCAGTTAAATTTAATAATTTTCTTAAAAATTTTATTCTAATGTGTTGTCTCCATCAAATGTTTCAGCAGGCATTATTAAAATTGTTAAGATTAATTTAATCTTAACAATTTTAAAAGTGAAAGAAGGGATGATTATTCCTTGTTTTAAATAAAATTCTGCGTGGTACTTTGGGGAAAAGGTCAAATACTTTTTCTATGTTTGTAAACATTGCCTCAGCTTGATGGAGATTCACTGGGTTGGAGAAAAATTTAGTTTTACGTAACTTGAAATGAAGCAAGCGAAATGATAAAATGGAGAAATACCAAGAAAACTGATAGAGCTTTAACAGCACCCATTCTGGCGGCTCACCAGGATTTTTTCCTGGAGGCTCACCTGAATTTTCCCTGTAGGGCGGTGGGCCAGTCCACCCTGGGTTAACATTATCTGCCCTGTTAATATGTTAGAGTTACCTGCTACTTGAAAAATTTTCTTACAATGACAGGTCCTAACTATTATAATTAGTGTTATTGATTTTCTCCAATGTTAAATGACCAAAAATATCACGTCCACATTTCATAATGACTCAAACCAAGAACTAGACCAACTTTATTATATCTCACACACTTTATTATATCTCACCAAAAGATGACATGTACATAGTAATTAATAAACCAAGAAAACCTACATACAGTACTTTATTTTGATGGTAATTAATTTGTCTAAATTTTCAGATATCTCATCAAACCATGGGCCCATCATTGTAATTAATTTGTCTAAATTTTCAGATATCTCATCAAACCATGGGCCCATCATGGTAATTAATTTGTCTAAATTTTCAGATATCTCATCAAACTATGTGCCCATCATGGTAATTAATTTTTTAAAATTTTCAGATATCTCATCAAACCATGGGCCCATCATGGTAATTAATTGGTTTAAATTTTCAGATATCTCATCAAACCATGGGCCCATCATTGTAATTAATTTGTTTAAATTTTCAGATATCTCATCAAACTATGTGCCCATCATGGTAATTAATTTTTTAACATTTTCAGATATCTCATCAAACCATGGGCCCATCATGGTAATTAATTTGTTTAAAATTTCAGATATCTCATCAAACCATGGGACCATCATGGTAATTAATTTGTTTAAAATTTCAGATATCTCATCAAACCATGGGACCATCATGGTAATTAATTTGTTTAAAATTTCAGATATCTCATCAAACTATGTGCCCATCATGGTAATTAATTTGTTTAAAATTTCAGATATCTCATCAAACCATGGGACCATCATGGTAATTAATTTGTTTAAAATTTCAGATATCTCATCAAACCATGGGACCATCATGGTAATTAATTTGTCTAAATTTTCAGATATCTCATCAAACCATGGGACCATCACCAACCTCTGTAGGGACAACCATGAGGAAATTTCTACGTGGGTCTCTAGCGTTATAAAAGTCTTTCATGGGACGGTCCAGTCTAGTTGGTGAACAATGGCTGTAGTAATCTTTGTGTATATAGTTTTTTTTTATTTTAGGTTCATGATTTTAAATACTTATTAGGATAAAATGATTAAGGTATTATATTGAGTCCAAATTTATAACTGTGGATTCACAGTCACTGTGCAACAACTTTAATAAATTCTGTTGGGAAATTTTCTTAGTAGTGTGATGAGTAGAGTAGGATCAATGGTCACTTGCCAGATAAATTGGATTGTGATATCAGCACTAAAGTGAGTGTCATGCACAATTGGCGAAAGATTTTACTTATATGAGATGTGCATAGGAACAGGTGAACTCTACTTCACCTACTCTACTAACCAGCCAGTTTTAAGAAAAATATGAAAGCAACTTCCAAATTATTTTTTTTTTAAATCCTTTTTGTTTGTATATATTGAACTTTAAAAACAATGTAAATATTTTTTTAACAGCTAGTCATTGAATGTGAATGAAAGGGGGGAGTGGGGGTTGTGAAAGGTTCTGCCATGACAGTTTGATTGACTGTGTAAGAAAACATTCTGTACTATATGATTTTTTTCTTATTTAGCCAAGGGAGGCTACTCTTTTTTTTTTGTTTTTTGACAGAGGAAATCATTCAGAAAGTTTTAGCCAGGAGAAAGGTCATGATGATATAAATAGATGTTTTAAAACATATCATAATATGTCGGTCTATTTATTAGCAACTGCTGGGGTATTATTTTGTTTAAGGGGGAGGAAGGGGGGAGTCTAAAGATTTTGGCCTATGTTATATTATATACATAAATGTTATATTTAAAGGTTATATTTTCAGCATCTAATTAGAAAGCTATAAGGAGAAATGTATGCACCCAATATATCTGCCTATGTAGAAAACTAAATGCATTATACGATTTTAAATTCAAATTACCTTTTATTTTTTAATAAGTTTGCCAGAATTGATGAGGTGAGAGTTGAGGTGTTTGTATGTTGGAAATGCTTATTGCATGTTGTAACTAGCAGAAAAGATTGTGTTTAACTATATTTGTAAGGATTAAAGTTTTAATCATAAACACATTGTTTTTGCGTTATAATATATAACAGACGTATTTTTTATATGGCTACAGTGAAACTAATTGTAACTACATTATGTATGATCTAGTATAGGAAAGAAAATTCGATGTAGTGTCAGGGACGTGGAGGGTCGCTCTCGGGAGCCCCCGATTACACTACCGCAGGAGCGCTCACAGGATAACACAGGCGCCAAATAGCACCCTGCCGGGGCGCCGGCGAACGCGCTTGATTAAATTTAGTGAACGGCTGTAACGCCCCAATTTTATAAGCCTATCACACTTTTTAATAAACCGGGAGTGATCTCCCCTAAACTTTCTCGAATATTCTTATATAAAATAACAGGGGATGGGAACTCGGGCTATAGACATGATTTTTAATCCATTTTAAATACTTAAAGTTTTAAAAATAGAATAAAATCTCGTAGACAAATTAATTGCACACCAAGTGAACGCCAAATAAAAAAGCGCATAATAGTGCGCAATATTATTAGTACTTTTAAAATTTACATTAGTTTTTTGATAAATCGGAAGTAGCGTAAAGTACTACTTCCAGTCAACGGAAATTACTCAAAATTTAACAGAAGGTAGAGAATTAGATCTTTTACTTACATGTGAAATTTCATTTATCTATCTGAAATAGTACTCAAGTTATAGGCTTTTGAAAAATTCAAAGTAGGAAAAGTACCACTTCCGGTTATCGGAAATCGCTCAAAAGTTGAAACGGATCTACGATTTTGATAAAATACTTATATATGAAATTTCATCAACCTAGCTGTAACGGTACTCAAGTTATCGTGTTTACACACGGACAGACAGACAGACACACAGACAGACACACAGACATACGGACACGATTGTAAAATTATGTTTTTCCGTATCAGTGAGGTCTAAAACGTCGAGATTTGTAAAAATCTCAATTTTTTTTTTGCACGATTACAATACTTTCTCTATACTTCGTATATACGAGAAAGTAAAAAGAACAAATGCGCCATAGCTTTCACTTTCAAGGAATAGCCCAGAGCGCCCAATCACACCGTGCCGGTGGAGGCGCCTTATTATATTTAGTGAACGACTCCAATACCCCATCTGATGCATAGTCTTTCGCAATGTTTAAAACTACCGAAGGCGTCTAATCGCACCCTGCCGGGGGCCGCCGCAGCAAAATTGAATTTTTCCCCCACAGAAACCTTCTCGGGAGTATTCTCATTTATTCCTTAAAGTTTCATGGCACTCCGATGAACGGTGTCGAACCGCATCCGACTGTTATTTATTTTATATATTTATTTATTTATTTTATATACCGTATAGAGAAAACAATCGCTCGCTCCTAGGGCGCCGACCTTGCAAAATTAAAAGAGATTTTTTTTTTTGCAGAACCCTAGAGTGTTCTAATCGACCCACCGGATGAACGGTGTCAAACCGCAATCGACTTTTATACCGTATATGGTAACGAATCGAATCGCGCCCTGCCGGGGCGCCACCCCTGCGAATTTGAATTTTTTTTTCCCGCAGGAATCTCCCCAGGAGTATTCTTAACAACTTCCTAAAATTTCATAGCGATGTGATGAAAGGTGTAATAACGCATAACAGACACACACACACATACATTTCTTTATATATATACATATATATGTATATATATATGTATATATATATATATATAGGCCTATATATATATATATATATATATATATATATATATATATATATATATATATATATATATATATATATATATATATATATATATATATGAATAGATAGCGGTCGGCGTAGATCCATCCATCGTTAACGTTTTCTTATCTATGAACTGGTGTTGTGTGTTTATACTCAAGCAAGAAATAGGATCTTAAGAATAGGTCTATCGATTCCCGTACTTATCACCACATTGGGTGAAACAATACTTTACCCCACATTAACCACCCCCCAGGAGTGTGACGTCTTTTGAGGACAACTCTGAGCTACAGAATCAGAGGGTCGATTGGATCTTGTGTTGACATGATTTATTGGTAATTTTTAAAAGAATAGAAACTTGGATGGTGCGGCCATGTTACAAGATGTAAGAAATCCACAACAGAAACAATGCTATGTAGGCGACAAAACACAAGAAGAAGAAACTGAGGCTAGAAAAAGATGAGGAGGGGGGGGGGGATATCAGTGAATAGATGGGTCTAACACAGGGTGGGATACAAACGATGGAGGAGCCAGCGAGGGTTGGGAGGCTAGTGTTTACCTTAACACATGTGGCACCCTAGCCGTCTGCCAGATAACGGACCAGATAGGCGAGATGCATAAACATCACACAAAACTAACTTTCAACTGAAATGTTTGAAACAGGTAAGCCTTCCACATTTAATTATTCGTAATTTTAATTGGATAGATGGGTAGCTTTAGCACATTTGAGCTACTGAGGCACGTTGCAAATCTTCACCTTTCTTCTTCGTACGTGGACGTGATCTCCTCCAACACAAGGAAGTATTACGTATCAGCATGTAATACGCCATATATGCAGTTGATTTCAGCGTGTATTTCTTTTCGGATTTGCTTCTATAGCCTTTGTTCATCGCGGAACGGACTATAAGTCTGTTTGATTTTGGAGTTGTCTCTCCTAGAAGAGTTGTTATCCCCCTCTATTGAACCTCATCAACCCGGAGATTTGAACTCGTTTTTTTTTTGGGGGGGGGGGGGGGGGAGTGTACGATTTTCCGTGTGCGGGAACGACTACGAAAATATGCGTTTGTTTTTTCTAAGCCCGGAAGTTTCACTTGGACATTTGTCGTGTGCAGTTTTGTTGTGTCGTTTTTATCGTTTCTTTGTATGGTCACCTCTCGTATTGACAGTTCACTGCCAAAATCTGCTTCCACCGCTGAAAACAGTGACAAATGTATCGAACACAAGCTTGTCCGACCAGTGGCGTAGCTAGGGGAGGGCGGGTGGGGCGGCTGTCCGGGCGTCGATCTTAAGGGGACACCAAAAGCGGTAGAAAAATTAATTTAAATGCGCATTTTAAGATGAAGTATTGAATTAAACACAGTCAAACTTAAGAAAATAAACTATTACAAGGATTTACACACTGGGTTAACTGTTCTCTATATCGATTTTGTGGCACCGAAATAGACAATGTTACGGGATAGTAACTGGTAAGAAGCGCCACCAACGTTTCCACTGGGGGGGGGCGTGGGGGGGGGCTTTTTCATAGACTGGAATAACTATATATATATATATATATATATATATATATATATATATATATATATATATATATAAATGGACGGGAGGAGGCGCAAACTTGATAGTAAGCCCCGGGCGACGGAGTATGTCTCTACTACTCAGCGTCCGACTTTTCGTAGATCCCTTCTTCTATTTAGCTAATTTACTGCTGGTGACATCAACGCAGCTAGGAGAGAACACTTTTGAATTAGATTTTTCTAGGGTGGACAAAGTCTATGGAAGCAAATCCAAAAAGAAAAGATGAAATATGAGTCTATGGGACTTGTAGCGTATGAAAAGTTGACACATGATGCTTTACTTGTGTTGGATGAAATCCCCTTTAATATTATACAGGTAAGAACGAATTTGACTACGCAGAAGTTAAAATATTATAATTACTATCGCATTGTCATCTGATCCATTGTGAATATGTCATTTATCAGCATAATCATAATCATAATCAACATGCTTTCCCGTTCGTGCCCAAGACACATATGGTAGGTGAAGTAGAGTTCAACTGCTTCACAGACAGAAGGGATAGCGATAGAGTTAGGTACCTATCAAAGCTGGGTGGACTCAGCTACGTTCCACTGATTTGAACCCGGATTCAAATTCGAGACTCTCGGGTTAGCAGTCTACCACTAGGCCAAGAATATGTCATTATTGAGTTTTAAATTAAACAACATATAGGCCACATGAAAATCAATAGCATGAGAGATTTAAGATAAAGATTGTAATCGGTTCCTCGAACTTGAATGCCGACATTGCTACACAATATCAGACTGGTCTAGTTTAATGTACCTACATAAATGTCACCGCTAACGTAAGATTAGACTTTGGGCTTGGCTTAATTCTGTTAGGACTATAGCTACAAATAGAGGGAGGACTGAAATAGCGATACTAGCAAATAAAGTTACTTGAAATCTTGAGGAAATAATGTATTGCTTTATGACCAAACCAACGGTATACGTGAATGTCACCCTCTACGCGACAGTACTTTTTTTTAAACCACAAATAAACATTTTATCCCAACTTAAAATTAGAATAGGTTTAAAAATAATTTTCTAAAATGATAATCACATTGATTTATTTTGTTTTGGTAGACAAGCCGATGACAGTCAATATTTTTTTTTTACGTTCTAAATTTAAATATTTTTTTTTACTGGATATGATAACTCTAAGACATTTGGTTATATGTTTATATAGGGATAACTAAGACAGTTCTAATATGTTTAACATTATTGTGGAACAAATAGAATTCTTCTGTTTGTATGTCACAATATTATAACACTGTGTACAGTGACCCTTTTTTCAGTGTGTAACACAGCATTATCAAGTTTCAATGATATCGAGCCATTATATTGATCAGTTTCAAAGCACGAATGTAAATTTAAGACTTGAATAATCAATAATAAAAGTGGGTTTTATTGTATGGGGGAATTGTTTATTTATAGAACTGGAGCGACTCCAAGCCCGTAGACATATAAATATACTGGTGACAGGTGTAAAACAGTTCTTTCTTTTACCCAAGGGTTCCAGTTAGATAACTAACTCAGGGTAGACTTAACTAATTTTAGCGGATTTTCAATTTTTACTGTCTATTAGTTATCGCATAGGATGAAATAGAAAATTTAAACCTAACAATTGCAAAACTTTTTATTACTTGCGTGTAAATGTAAAAAAAAAATACATTTTATTAATTTACAAATACATAATTTAATGTAAATAAAAAGTTATTGATGAAAATATTCATACTATTTCATAATAAAAACATTTTTATGATATAATTC